CCATCACTGCTGGCCTGTTTACAGTAGGAGGGAGGAATGGAGTACACACCATCCATTATTGGTGACCTGATGAGTGGCAGGGAAGGAAGACACAGTATACCAGCCATCACTGCTGGCCTGTTTACAGTAGGAGGGAGGAATGGAGTACACACCACCCATTATTGGTGACCTGATGAGTGGCAGGGAAGGAAGACACAGTATACCAGCCATCACTGCTGGCCTGTTTACAGTAGGAGGGAGGAATGGAGTACACACCACCCATTATTGGTGACCTGATGAGTGGCAGGGAAGGAAGACACAGTATACCAGCCATCACTGCTGGCCTGTTTACAGTAGGAGGGAGGAATGGAGTACACACCACCCATTATTGGTGACCTGATGAGTGGCAGGGAAGGAAGACACAGTATACCAGCCATCACTGCTGGCCTGTTTACAGTAGGAGGGAGGAATGGAGTACACACCATCCATTATTGGTGACCTGATGAGTGGCAGGGAAGGAAGACACAGTATACCAGCCATCACTGCCAGCCTGTTTACAGTAGGAGGGAGGAATGGAGTACACACCACCCATTATTGGTGACCTGATGAGTGGCAGGGAAGGAAGACACAGTATACCAGCCATCACTGCTGGCCTGTTTACAGTGGGAGGGAGGAATGGAGTACACACCACCCATTATTGGTGACCTGATGAGTGGCAGGGAAGGAAGACACAGTATACCAGCCATCACTGCTGGCCTGTTTACAGTAGGAGGGAGGAATGGAGTACACACCACCCATTATTGGTGACCTGATGAGTGGCAGGGAAGGAAGACACAGTATACCAGCCATCACTGCTGGCCTGTTTACAGTAGGAGGGAGGAATGGAGTACACACCACCCATTATTTGCGACTTGATGAGTGGCAGGGAAGGAAGACACAGTGTACTAGCCATCATGGCCGGCCTGCTTACTATGGAAAGGAAGGAGCCTAAACTAGCCATTAGCTCATATTTGCATATATGACAGTATCCATGCAGGTGTATGCGTGTATCTGTTCCACTATGTTGCTCACAGGCAAGGCACATTACATTTCTAGGATTGAGATTGTTTACCTCTCCCCTCAAACACGGAAACAACATCTCCTATTTTACCCTCAGTGACACTCCAACCAAACACACAAAGTCTTTCATAATTATTCATCACTAATTTCTCCCATCTATTGCCACGATACCTTTGCTTTGTTAGCTACTTATAACTATGCGGAAATGTCAATACTGTACTACCAACATGGTGTCAAGTGGTACTAAACTATTATACAGCCGTGTGATCAATGGCGAGTTGTGGCGGTAATCAAGGCTTGTAGTACAGTGCAGCAGTATTGGAATTCCCAGCTTGTGTCAGTGTCACACCAACAAATCACAGTCATCAGTCAGCCTTTGTTGCTCCACTCCTGAACATTCCTACAGTGATTTCCTTCAATGGAAGGTAGGGCACAAGTCATTCTGGATATGAAGTACAGTGTTCACGAATAGCGTCTGACCCTCTGACAAATCCGGCAGATTCGCCAACGGTCAGACAGAAGTCTACAACCCACCGGCCCCAGTGTCTGACTGTATATTTCACAATGACTCTGACTGAAGTTGTTTTATGTGACATGTGACACTTGTTTGCTGTTTATAAATCTTATGTTTGTTAATAATTTCAATGTCAATTATAAGAAATATTAAATCTGAAATGTGTTTTTAATTTTATTCCATGGGTCCTGTGCATTTTCAATGGGTGAGACAGACATCTGAAACTTACAGGACCCAATGTCCTGTGACTTTGAAACACCATTCGTGAACACTGGAAGTATGTGGACACTAAATAGAGGCAGAAAAAGGCCACAAAATACCAGACAGAAAATGACTTAAATGTGTAGAAATTTAATCAAAAGTTACATGCACTTATTGAATAAGATATAAATTTTCATGTTAATATTATTATTCTTTAAAAAATATATTCATGTATCGAAAATACTTTCTCTTTCCATTCAGTAAGGTAAAGAGCAACACAAGTACTATCATACACACATTCAAAATGCATATGTCATTACAACCTGTCAATTACATTCAATGGAGGTTTGTCAGCATACAACGGCGGTGAGTGGGTGAGTGAGTATGGTTTTACGCTGCTTTTAGCAATATTCCAGCAATATCACTGGGGACACCAGAAATGGGCTTCACACATTGTACCCATGTCGGAATCGAACTTTGGTCTTCGGTATGACGAGCGAACGAATTAACCACTAGGCCACCCCACAGATGGAATACAGCTGAGTTAAACATCAAAGAAACAAACAAACAAGGATTAGCCTTCATGGCTTTGTCCTGACTATGACTAACATGACTGATTGTTGTGACCAAGTACAGGGATATAGATCCTCCATGATTGTCTCATATGTAATGATTGCACCTTGTCAGGTGAAAGGTGCTTGAGGACTTTCATATGTAACTGCCACAAGTGCTTCAAATGATGCGTCAATAATTTCCATTATGATCGTCATTTGCTTTAAATGAGCTTGTCAATAAACTACAAAAACATTTACGTTCCTCAGTGCAGCTGGACAAAACTGAGAAAACTATCCTGAAGAAAGACAAAAATACCAGCACAGGTTAAAAATCAATTGCTATTGTAAGTATGTCTCCGCGGGGAATCTGCTGGAGAAATTCAATAAACTTTCCTCACTGTACAAACACATGTTCCATGTTTCTTAAGAAAATCCTAAGTGAGCGCTTCTCTCATAATGAGTATGGATTCCCAACCTGATCAATATTATAGGAAGAAATTATGGTGTCAGCAAACATTCAGTGCAGTCTTATCACTTGAAACACTTCACACATGGCTGTGAAAAAGCAATTTTAAACAATGTTTGATTTGGTTTCATGTTTCATGAAGCATAAACTCTGGAAATATGTGGTAAATATTAGGTCTTCACTTGAACAAGGCGAGTATGGTAAATTAAAGTTCTGCCTCAAATGATCTGTCTTCATAACAAGAGGAAATGTCAATTTAGGACTAAAATGTCATTTCAGACATCTTGAATGAATGTGATTTTGTTACATAATATTTCATCTTGAACAATGTAGAAGTCTGAGTTCAACCTACACATTTAACCACTACGCTACCCCACTGCCCCCCATAGTCAGAGACCCTTAATAGGAGTGACTGAGTGAGTGAGTTTAGTTTTACGCCACACTCAGCTATATGGTGGCGGTCAGTAAATATTCGAATCTGAACCAGTCAATCCAGGGATCAACACCATGAACATGGATCTAAGCAATAGAGATACGATGTCATGTGTCAACCAAGTCTGCGAGCCTGACCACCCGATCCCGTTAATCGCCTCTTACGACAAGCATGCATTGCTGAAGATCAATTCTAACCCAGACCTTCACTGGTCCCTTCATAGGAAGACACCCTGATCATCATCTGTATTTTGGGGCGGTGGGGTAGCCTAGTGGTTAAAGCGTTGGCTCGTCACGCCGAAGACCCGGGTTCGATTCCCCACATGGGCACAATGTGTTAAGCCCATTTCTGGTGTCCCCCGCCGTGATATTGCTGGAATATTGCTAAAAGCGGCGTAAAACTAAACTCAGTCAGTCAGTCAGTCAGTCATCTGTATTTTAGAGCGCTGCTCAAGATTTACACTGAAAGGCACCTGTGACACCCTTGTCATCATAAGCTATACTGAGCGACACTTTTTGCCAGTGATGCTAAGGTCTTCCTTGGTGGTCCTTCTATTTGTGAAAGTCTTCTTGTAACTCAGCCATGACTGCAGGAGGTTAACATGTGTGGGCCACTCAACCATCTGGATTTTGAACACACCAAATTCTACAGCCACTATTTGATGGGGACTCTTGAATAGGCCACTGACATTAATCTCTTAGCACTTCAATTCCAAAGCCACCAAGTAATCTTGTTGTTCAATTTCTGAACTCAACAAAAACAGAAAGTGCACATAAAATCAGCTGAGACGGGCAAGAGTTATCACTCAACACAAAAAGTAAGTAATGCATCACATTTTCATTGTCAATAAGTTTGGGTTAATTCAAAGCTATTTCAAACATTTATTTTGCCAACAACTGGAACCACACAGTCAAACAGGAGACACTGACATTTGCCCGTTTTATCACCACTCGCTGGTGTCCTGCGTCTTGAGTTACAACTCGTTTATTGGTTGGCGCCAGTCTCTTTGTTTCCCTCCCAACAAAGTCATGTCAAAGGCTGACACAACTATAATTAAGGCTAAATATTTCACCAAATTTGCACATCTACAGGCTAATTTGTCACTGGAAAAAAAGGAAAGAAAACAGACTTTCATTACTGCTTGGTCTCGAAATAAAAATATCTTCCAGAGAAGCAATATTACTCAGCTTGTGTCAGTCTCCTGTTTATTTCTGGCTAGAGGATTTCTGTATTAACTCTCTGTGATCTAACTGTTCGTACTGCCACCACACATGAAAGTCCCTGTGTGACTAAAATACAACAGACTATTAACAGTCACTGATTAAATCTTTCCTTTGGAGTCATAATAATAAATAGTGACAGTGTCACATTTGCCCTTTGGAGGAATGAAAGAAACCAAAGACAAAGTATTCATTTACATCACCTGTCAGCCAAGCTGCTTTTTAGGACTTTCATTACAGGTGGATGAACCATGCAGGATTGTAATGAGAATCGGTTCTCATTTCATGCTCTACTGTTTGAAATGTCTGGCTGAATCCAACTGACCAATCTAATTAGTGCCTGTTTTTGTACAATATTAAGAATATTTTCATTCCAAACACAGCTCTGTTAGGACTGTGTGTATTGGATCATCAATCAAGCATTCTTTTCAAAAGCGCATTTATGATAATTCAATTTACCAAAATAACTTGGAATTATGTCCCTTGTTTCAGTCACAGGCCTGTGACCTTCAAACACATTTCAAGGTTGGACAGGATACATTCTAATCTACTCTAAGAACAAACATCAACTTACCTGATCTGACAAGGAAAATGTACGAGCATTCTTTGTGATATTTATATGAAGTACATGAAATCTATTTTTCTGGCACAGCTCATACGCGATGCCTGCAAATGATGTACTGCCTGTCTTGGGAACTCGGTTGTATATAATGATAAGATCATCATTATCATTGTCCGCCAGTTCCTGAAAAATAAAATAAAATGTTTAAGTATAGTAATACTTACAATTCTGCAACCACACAAAAACAATGTCCTTATGCAGTCTTGCAGTGAAACAAATGTAAGTAAGGAGGCAGTCTTTTAAAGGGATGTTTCCCCATTTGACCGTAACATACCTGTCAACTCTCATGCATCCTGCGTGAGACTTACGCATTTTACCTCAGTGTCACACACTCATGCATTACTTCTCTAAACACACTCATTATTGACAAATTTTAAAAAGTAGTTTTTTTAACAACATAACATACCATTATACTAAGAGAACATTGTTGTAGAACGGAATTGTACCTGTTTTATTTTATTAGTATGTATGTTGTCATGTGCTTTGGGCTAAAGATCTGTTTTCACTGAGAGACTCTTAAAATTATTTCGTGCTCAAGATGTCATGTGATTTTGATTTTGATTAAAAGATTTGAATGTAAAGGACATAGCACCAAATGACATAAAAATGATCCTAAAATAACCCCAGCTTCTCACTCATTGGAACTCTCAGGGATTGACAGCTATGCTTTGTACATGTGGATGAAACTGATCAAATTTCAAATGATAATCCAGCTGTGATAAAATATGCCACCACTTATTCACATTTAAATAGTTACCTATTTATTCAAATACTTCCTGTTGTTTCTGTTGGTTTATTGGACTAGGAGCCTTCATACACTGAGTGACTGACTGAGTTTGGTTTTACACCGCTTTTAGCAATATTCCAGCAATATCACGGCGGGGGACACCAGAAATGGGCTTAACACATTGTACCCAAATGGGGAATGTGACGAGCCAACACTTTAACCACTAGGCTACCCCAATCAATCTCTTCATACAGTGAGTGCCAAAGGTAAGAATGTATAAAATGGTATGTGGGACGTGGAGGTAGTCTGTCAGAAGAAGTGGCAGTCCCAGATTACAGTCTTGTGGATAATGTGTGAATGTGCGTTTTCCAACATAATGTGCATTTTGCACAGGAATCAAAATGTGTCATTCACACACTTATCGTTTCAAGGTCATGTGACTGACTTCCCATCCACTAGAAAAGCTTTATATTATGCCAAATGCATTTGAAGGACCAATGGTGTCTGCAGGTGAATTCACAAAATCATACCAGCTGCAGTGTTTTCAGAAATGCTACTCACATGAAAACACACGTTTAAACAAAACTGAAGTCACACAAAGTCAACAATGCATTTCAAATGATTTTTTTAAAAGCAAACACGTCTCAATACAATGAACACCAGCCCATTAATCACGTATTCCTGACAGCGACAACAATACCAAATTGTTACTGAAACTACAAGTCAGAACCTCTCCACTCTAAGTGCCACCCTCAAACACAGCCACCAGATACATTACAAATAAACATTTTTCATTCCCTAATCCCACTGTGACAGAAACTGTGTTCCCGGATAGTGTCCCACAATGAAGGGATCATCCCCTACAGGCTAGGGTTAACCTGATCTGCCCAGTTCCTGGAGGCACAAAACACTCCACGCCACTCTAGACACTCCCTTTCTGCTGGGCAGGTCTCTGTGTGTTTAACCCTTCATATGGTAAACCATATGCTTGATAGCAATGCCATGAGTGTGGAAGGCTTAATGCCACTTGACTGCAGCAGAGGCCATCAAGGACATCCTTTACACAATGTACCCATTTATGGAATTCCGTCCAGGTTAATGTTTGAGTTATTCAACTGTCCTACTGCCTAGGGCCCTGTTCCTCAAAGCGATCGTAGCACTACAGCAGTCGTAAGTCTATGTTAAAGTATGGGAGTTATGATCATCTTAGTGCTACGACAGTCGTAAGTCCATGTTAAAGTATGGGAGTTATGATGGCATCCAATTATTTCCTGATCTTGTTGAACTTTTTATTTTACTTTTGGAAGTGGTACTTTAAATGTGAGCGCATGACTGTTGTTAACTAATATAAATATCTAGGGATACTGTTTACACATACACTAAATCTGAACAAATCCATTATTAATTTGGCAATTAGAGGGAAAAGGGCCCTACTTCAATTGCTCTCTGTTATACCAAAGTTGGGGGTTGTTGGTCCCAATATATTTTTCAAATTGTTTGATTCCCAAGTACAGCCTATTCTTCTTTTATGGGTCTGAAATTTGGGGCAATAAGGAATTTTATGCCATTGAAAAGGTTCACCTTCTTGCATGTAAAAGGTTTTTAAATGTTGGGATGTCTACCCTAATAATATGGTGTATGCGGTGAATGTGGGAGATTTCCTTTGTACATAATTTCTTACTCGCTGTTTAAAGTACTGGTGTAAAGTAATAAATATGCCAGAACATCGTCTGCCCAAAAAAAACCTACAATATGATTGTCCATCTTGATAATATTGGTAAAAATACTTGGGCAACCCATTATTAGAAGTATTCTTTTTGTTTAGATACGGCTTTGGATTTGTTTGGCTATCCCAAACCCTGGGCGACGTTAATGCATTTATCAAACTCTTTCGTACCAGGGCTATTGATATCTTTAAACAAGACTGGCATTCATCTTTATATGAAAGTTCAAGATATGATTGCTATCGTGAGTTTAAATCTTTACTTGAACCTGAGTCGTATCTATACAACTTACGTAGTAAAAGCTTCAGTAGTGTTTTCATGCGCCTGAGACTTGGCCTAAATGATTTATATATCAATCAAGGAAGATATTCATCTATTATAAAATCACAAAGGTTCTGTCCATTTTGTAATACTGTAGAGAATGAATTACACTTTCTATTTCTTTGTCCTGCATATAATGATTTAAGGCAACTGTATTTTCCGCAATGGCTACAATCAAATATTAATGCTACAAAACTGTATTCAATACTTTCATGTAAAGCATCCCTATTACAATATAAGGTAGCTCTATTTATTTATCACGCGCTTATATTGAGAAGAGATTCAATGTAACGTGTGTGTCGCATGTTGTATATGTTGTACATATCATACATATTTATTCTGTATATGGGCCTCTGGCCTTCATGCAATAAACTGATACTACTGATCGCATTGAAGAACGGGGCCCTGGTCATAATGCTAGAAAGGGAAAGATTCTGTTCTTCTTCACTCAATATATTTTGTCAAAAACAGTTTACTGGAATAAACAGCCCGTCAGAAGATGTCAGTATTGAGGCATTGTGACACAAACGTAATGATTCACTTCAAAATTGAAGAATCCTGACACATGAGAAATGATTCACCTCAGTACTGTGACATCATGGTACATATGTAATGATTCAGTATTCCATCAATACTACACATTCTACCCATTTGGAAGTGCAGGTCTTCAGCATGATGAGCAATGCGCGCAGCACTTGGCTACCTCTGTCCTCAGGGACAGATTCAGGTGTTCAGGTGGAGTTCAGGCTAGGGTTAGTGGAGAAGAGGTGTTCAGGTGGAGTTTATAATATCCAAACTGTGTAGAATAATGATCATAATAACAGTCACTGGATCGTCTGGTCATATTATGTACAGATAACTGACAGACTGAATACTGCTGAGTGTTGCTTTAAACAAACAAGCATTGAATAACCATGAAAGTGAATCACCATGAAAGTCACCACCACAGCCAGCAAGTGTTATGATTCACCTCAGTGTATTCTTACATTATGTATAATTAAAACAGTTTGTAATACCTTACATTAACATATTACCTGTGTATGTATATGCATGAGATTCAAGATTATTGCAATGAATTGTTAAATATAATACCATTTTCCTAACTGCCAAGAGCTGGTGCCAGTTTACTGTATTTGTAGATGGGGTTTTCACTGATGATGGCACACCTTTAGCAAAACTAGCATTCCACAAAAGTTGGCCTTTGTTGTTCGTCCACATGTTGTGGAGTATACCAGTCTAAACTCAATAATGATCCCAATAAACCAGACAGAATGTTCTGGTTTCACAGACAACACTAATTACAATGACTAGACCTTGACTGGAAATGGAAACAGAATCGTGGAGCAAAGTACCATTTGTTAGTAGGGGTGGGTATTGCAAGGAATTTTCATATTGCGATAAACTGCGAAACTTCCGAATGCATGTCAAAATATCGGTTTTCAATCAGCGTATCGCTATACGCATCGTTTTCATGTCTGAACCGGTAACTACCGGTAAACCAGTTATATTGCGCAGCCCTATTTGTGAGCAGCATTATCATCATCTGTATGCTATGTTCAGCATAACCTGATCTCCACAGTATGGAAAACTATGCATATTGTATTACAACAGTGTATGTACGAGCACTTGCAATTGACAACAGTTCATACAGATTAAATTCCTTCAAGTCTTACAAAACAAAATACTGATGGTTTTAAAACCAATCTAAAATGATTAAATATTTGCTATATGTAATATTACTCAAAGTGAACATCCTGATTCAAGAACAAATTCTACATAATCTTTTTTTATCAAGCGCAATAAAGTCATGGACTTAAAAAATAATATTAAATGAATTAGGCAATATATCATAACTTGCAGGAAACATGAAAGCGCCATAACACATAGGTTGTAGCTTCACATAAATCAGGCTTGGTCGTCTGATTAAACGTCTTGTGGGAAAACCATTACAAACTAATTCGTTGAGTGGTATCTAACGGAGGAAGCCCCATGTTTGGATTAAGGAATTGAGGGTTAATCCTTCCGTGTATGAAACCACAACTTGGGGGATTACTCTGACGGTGAGATGGATGTTCATGGAATGCCAGGCAATGCCGTATTTAACAGTCTAGACATCAACATGCTTCAGCAGTACGGAACCCACTCCTATGAATAAAGCCAGATTGCTTATGTGTGATATATTTTCACTTCAGCCCTGACTTCATTCATACAATTTTTATGTGTAATAATTATGTAAATAAGATTCTTTTGGAAAGTTCAGAAAGTCCATATTGTAATGGTTTTAACATCTGCACAAATGGAAGTATTGCCACTCCTTGTTGATCCATCAAGCTTTCAACCACACTGAAACC